TTGATATTGTTGGATTTTTCATAGGCATATGCGCATCTTCGCACTTCAATGGGAGTTAACCCATAAAAATGTTTAGCCAACTTTTTAACTTGATCGGCCAGTTCACTCTCGGCTTCTTTTGAAAAGACTGGCTTACGTCCTAACGAAGGTCCAGAGTTAACGGCCTCATTTTTCATTCGGTCTTGTAAGGTGGATCTTGGTACCCCAAATCTTACTGCTGCTTGTCTTATTGTCACACCATTTTGGATGGCACGTAATGCATCTTGCAAATGCTCCTTCTGCCAGGAAGCTTATTCTGTTTTTCTTTTATACGCCGCGGCATCTGCAAATTAATATTAAAAGAAAAAACTAGTTTAATAGCTGTGACATTGCCACTGCCGCCATTACCCATTTACTGTGGCAGGTATAACGCCAAACTGACGTGAACTGTTTTACTTGTGCTGGTATTTTGTTTACAACTATATGTCCAAAATATATTACCATAATGAAAATATAATTAATAATCTATGAATTTACATATCAGTTCATGAAATTACTAGTAACCAAATCGTCAATACGTACCTTTTACAATCCCAGTTTCTTATAACAGCGCGAACAAAATATGTTTGTTCACGATAAATATCGGCACGTGCACTCCGGCAATAAACTGAAGACACGGATATACTCGGAATAGTTGCAGGCCGGCATTACCCCACTGGCCGTTATTCCCTCGTTTTACCCTAGTTTTTTTTCAGAGGAGTGGACTTGCAAGATGCAGAAGAGGCTAAGAATGTTTTTGTAATAATATTTTTCTAGCAAATTAAACCATTATATCTAGAATGAATTTTCTTTATAAACCCAATTTTGTATAAACATTCCTACAGGTTTTGCTAAAATAACCAATAAAAAATTTTCTAAATACACTAAAAATATATATCAGATTAATGCTTGAAAATCCATACATATTTACGAAAAATATTAGATATTTCATCAAAATATGAAATTGATATTTAAAAATCTTTCCTCATATATTTTCTAAATATTTGGATAAAATATCGCAAAAATATATGAATTATATATACAGTGGAAGCTCTCCTTGCGGACAGCTCCTATAAGCGGACATCTCTTTTAACCGGACAAAGTTCCTGGAACCGAATTTCAGCCATCAATTTTCAATGTTAAATGCATTCCGATAAACGGACGCTCTTATAAACGGACGCGGACACTAGATTTTCCTGTATGTGATCAAAAAATCTCCCATAAGCGGACGCGAATCTCTAATACCCGGACGATTTTTTAGTTCCGCTTATTGCAATGCACATATCTACATACATAAAATTCGGTAATTCCCCGATTTATATTAGGTGATTCCCCATTTACGCATTTCGTTGGGTAGCCTGTATGTAATCTTGTGGCTTGTCTTCAGTTCAGGCAAATTCGTAGTTGATTGAGTTACGTATTTTATTATTGTAACTGTAAAATGGCACCAAAAAAAAGGATGCTCTCGTTAAAGGAAAAGATGGAAGTTGTTAACGTATTAGCCAGAGAAAGTGTTTTAGTTCGTCATTTGGCAAAGAGGTTTAATATTGGGAAAACGCAAGCAGCTGAATTTGCCAAAAATAAGGAAGATATCAGGAGTAAATGGCAATCAGGAACTAATATAAATCAAAAGAAGGATTTTTTAAAAAAGGAAGGTTTTGCTATAGACAAAACATGTTTTGAGTGGTTTGTGAAAGCTAGAAGTCAGAACATTCCAATCTCAGGGCCGTTAGTGAAAATGAAAGCTAAAGAAATCGCCACTACTTTGGGCTATAATAATTTCAGTGCGTCCGACGGGTGGCTGCAAAAGTGGCGCAAGAGACATAGTGTGAGTTTCAAATGCATATCTGGCGAAGCTGCTGCAGTAGATCAAGTTGATGTGTCACAATTTTTGGAGAAACTTCCGTCCATGTTGCTTGGCTACAAACCAGAAGATGTGTACAACGCAGATGAGAGTGGACTTTTTTTTCGCGCATTGCCCGACAAAACTCTGTCCTTTAAAGGAGAAACATGTGTGGGTGGAAAGTTGTCTAAAGATAGACTAACCATTTTATTCTGTGCAAATATGGCCGGTGAAAAATGCGATTTGATTGTGATCGGGAAAGCGGCTCGTCCCCGTGCTTTAAAAAACGTTGCTATTAAGGATCTACCAGCGACTTGGAAATCCAACAAAAAGGCATGGATGACCCGAGAAATCATGTCTGAGTGGTTAGTCGAATTCGACCGGAAAATGAGAATCCAAAAAAGGCAAGTTCTTTTATTTTTAGACAATGCATGCTCTCATCCTCGTGATATGAAAATGAAAAATGTGAAAATTATATTTTTACCGCCAAACACAACTTCTGTTTGTCAGCCCATGGATCAAGGTGTCATACAGAACTTTAAATTTTATTATCGGCACTTGATTTTAAAACATATTTTAACAAAAATTGACGATGGTCAAAGCTTATTTGAGCTTACAAAGTCTATCAATGTGTTAGAAGCTTTGTATTTTATAAAAACAGCATGGAATAAAATAAATTCCTCTACAATTAAAAACTGTTTTGGCAAAGCTGGATTCAGAAAAAGTGAATGTAGCTCAGATATATAGCATAAATACATACTTTAAAAATGTGGCGAGTTTCTGTTTCATTTTTCTCATGATTATAATACCTCATTTCCTCATGATTATATACCCCGTTATTTATACTCTATACTTACATACTCTCTTTTAAACGGACACTTCCCATAAGCGGACAAAAGCTACGGAACCGTGAGTGTCCGCTTATGGGAGCTTTCACTGTACTACAAATATCTATAATGAATATTTTATAATTATATAAAAAGTATATTCATTAAATAATATTAAAAAATCTGTCTACAAATATTTAACAAACGTTTTTTAAAAATATTCAATGCTATCGGGGTTAGTTTGTCTAGGTTTTATTGAATGTTAAATTGAAGTGGAACAAAATGTAGTTAGATTGTCTGTGTTATGGAAATTGTTAAACGGGCAAAATAGATTGCAACGCCATCTATATCTCAAAATCTGAAAAATGGGCTTAGAATGTCTGCTCCTCATATGTTTTGTAAGTGTAAATGTTTTGTGGTTAATATTCCCTCATAAAACCGGTCCCACACGATGTAGCTAATATTTTACAATGTGGGACACATGGTCATTTGCCACATCGTGTGGGAGAGCGCTGATGGGTTGCATGTGTCCAAGGTTCGCCACATGGTACGTTTGGGCTCTTGTCCGTAAATATACTTTGAAAGTACTATCAGGATTTTTATGAAATTTTGACTCTAGGTTACCCCTATGAAAATGACGAAAAAGCTGGCGGCGAAGTTATCGTCGAAAAATGAACAAAAAAAGATCAAACTTCGTTATTCGACATTGCTGAGGCTTCTGACACACCTAAGTTTTGGTCGCTGAAGACAGATCTGAAATTATTTTTCGGAGGTCGAAAAAATTGTTTAATGGTTCATTTTGAATAATTTTCCTTCAGTTGTAAAGGTTCAAGCCTGACACTGACACCGATAATAGACGTTGGAGCCACCATCCGTCGAACGAGACTAAAAAGTTCATCTCGTGTGGGAGCGTAACGAACCATGCTTCCAACGTTGTAACGACCTTTGACGCGGGTCAAATTTACCGACAGGAGCCCGAACGTGCCATGTGGCGAACGTGGGCAATCTGTCAGCGCTCTCCCACACGATGTGGAGAATGGCCACGTGTCCAACGTTGTAAGGCATTCGCCACATCATGTAGGAGCGGTTTAAGACAGCGCGACGCCCGAGAAATTTGTTTGGAGGGGGTAAAAAAAATGAGATGCTTAAATCAAATTCAAGCGGATAACCAAATGGAAATGGTATTTACCATTTTGGGTTGGTATTTACCAATCCGTTCAAGCGAGTGTAGTTATCAGTTTGGTTATAAGATCCGTGACGTGACGAATCAGCTGTTATATGTCATAGTTATCACCGCAAAATTGTGGTATTTACCCAACTCAAGAGTAGTTTTATATTTCTGGTTATTATTTGAAATGTGACAAGTTAGAATTTTGCCGGGTATTGGATATTGTTATTGTACTTCAGCTTCATTTTTGAGAAAAATGATACAGGCTGACTTCAGTTTTACCATAAAGTGGAGCACCTTATTAGTTATACTCATTACGGTTGTTGGGGACACTTTAAATGTAGTTCCTATGCTTAACAAAGTATCCTGTGTAGCCATATACCACAAGAATATTAAAATATGGCCATATAAACTCACTAGATGATATCCACCTGTATACGGTTTTGCTAATTTCTTTTTTTATCATTTCTGCTGAATCAATAAATGTTTTCTTTGACATGCGGAAAAATTTAGAGAATTGAAAGTTATCATAGCTACAAAGCCATGGTACCATCATTAAAAAAAATCTGAAAAAAACATTTCTCCCATGAATATTATGAAAGGTTTCTTATTTAAACTTTCCATATACAGTTGTAGTCGAAAAAGCACCGATTATTAAGTGATAATAAAAATAATCAGAGATTATATACGCGCTTTTGGTTATTCGCTTGGATTTGATTTTAGTTTGTGATTATCTGTGGGGTAATTTTATTGAAAATTCGAATATCTTCTCAACGATTGAAAAGCAGTGAGGGGGTGGCGGCTGCATCAGTCGACAGTCGTTTTAAAAGTGGTGGATGCAGCGGTGGCGGAGGCAGCTGAATTAATGCTGTATCGCTAAAGAGACCCTTTTTTACGGTGACAAAGCGTTGGAGGGCAGGGCCCATAGCATTTGCTACTCTTAACTCACCACTTCATCACAGAATATTGCACCCCCTTAACTATGTCTGGTTCAGGTCTTACCGAGATAACGCGAATACAACACAGGGACTGTAGTAAATGAGCATAATAGGTTTTTGTGTCATAGACTAACATTTACAAAATGATGTGTTCTCAGTATCTCCCTTATGGATTTTTTAAAAATGAATTGCACTACAAGGAAAACAACGTTTGGTAGTATTATTTATTGAATTATAAATTCCATACACCTACAAGCTTTATTTTTCCTTTAGGTGATATTATAATACTGTAAACCTAACATTTTTTATATAAATATACATATAGGTACATAAACAACTAGATTAAAGCATAATCAGTAAAAAATGTGAATGAACAAGCAAGAATATTTTAAAACCTTCGTTTTCCATAGAAAAGCGATTATTGAAATTCACACATGCTGCAGCCATTCACGCATAGTTGGGGTACCATGCCATAACCCACAAAAAAATGGATCCAAAATTCACATCAACCAAACTGAGGAGTACAGATATAAATCTACATTTACATAAAAACTTTGGCGAGTCTGCGCAAAGAAGTTTTAATGTCACAATGGTCGCATTCGGCAGTTTGGAAACTGAAGGCTCACTTGTGATCGGTCGATTTGTGATGGTTAAAAATGTAGTGCATTCGTGAGAAAATTCTGTCTCCTTGATTTAAAATGCTACCCTCACTAAGGGCCGTAGCGTCAGTCGTTCCTTTATGGCTTCCTTGATTTTCATAGTTTTCTGCTCTTCAGCGTTCTATTTTGAGGTTATGTTACAAATATCTATTTGCACCATATTGTTTATGCTTTTGATTTATATCATCTGTTATATAGCCTGAAATTTCCTACAATTCAAGAAGAAAACATAGCCTGTCAATAGGAGAGCGCTGACTTCTGACACGGAACCGTAGAAATCTAGAAATATCCCAGCCTTTCTGAAGGAGAGGAAAGACTGAAAATCAAGGCCATAAAGGCGTCTTACAATTGTAGGAACGACTGAACATACGGCCCTAAATCATTATAAAATGACATGACATAGTTGCTTCGTCGCTAAGAAAATGATAGTGACGAATTTTTACCTGCGTAGCAAACGATTTGCAAGTTATTTATCTCTGTTGCGTTAAGGCATAGTCATGCTAATCGTACATTTTACTTGCGAGCATGTTGTCATGCAAGATATAGTATTTGTGGTATCGGTCTTATGGTCGTCAATATAATACAGACACTCAGCCTTTTTCGCAATGAAGTTGGGTTAGATACAAAAATCAAAAGATTTTACTCATGCCAAACAAAATTGATGAAACGCGACAACGAAAACAAGCCATATGGTACAACGCATGACGATCTAAGACCGAACATGCAAAACGTACCATTTGCACGAGTGTCTATGGCAACCTTTAGTTATACCACAGCTTAGATAACAATCAGCTACGAAACTCTCCTGTCACGGCCGTTTTTGACACCGACAGGAGAGTTTCATAGCCGATTGTTATCTAAGCTGTGGTTATACTATTGACATTTGTTCGTTGAAATGTTTATCAAGACGTTTTCAACAAAATGGTTACAATCGGGGTCATGAAATCATTCACAATCTATATTAACTGAATTGCATGTCAAACATGTGGCCCAGTGAGCATTTTCCTGTGGCTCGAATTAGTTTTAAAAACAGCCAGATAATGCGGCCCGCCAGCTACCCTTTCATTGCATTTTCTATTGCCTGTGACGAAAGTACAGATATGTGTAGTATGGCGTGTGGGTATATTCCAATTTTATAGCTACTTGCCAGTTCATTAACAAAAAATGAGAAATTTTGCCAGTGAAACATTGTAAATATTTGGAAGTACCTATAAGCGTGAAGAATTATTGGGAGCGTCCAGCCAACCTAAAGCGGTCCAGCGCTTTTGTCTTAATAGCAGTAGTCGTGGAATAGCTATCACGGTTCGCAACATTAAACAATATACTATCCAATCTGACAGCCAGATGAAAACTGCTGTCAATCTGACAAAGTTATCCCATTTCTTCTGATATCCAGCTTAAAAGCGCTGCACCACTGGACCGGTAGTAGGGTGAATGCTCCCAATTTCTTTGATGAAAGGAAACAAGTATCCTGCCGGACCGCGATTGATGGACACACAGTTGGACGCAGTTTTGAGTTGTTTCCACCTATAAATTTACGCCACAAATAGCCAACTTAATTAAAAACAAAATATGCCAAATGTCTGGCAAAATTTAATGTTTGTGTCTTATGTCATATTTATGGAAAGTTAAATAAATATCTGCCATAATAGTACCTTTTTCGTTAAGATTTTCAGTAGTTTGTCTCTTTTAAAATTAGGTTTCGCGGCCCACCTAATCTGCGGGCTTCTTGCTTTTGGTCCACCATTGATTTTGAGTTTGAAAAAACTTGTTGAACGACCGCCATGTTTATCCGGTCGACCAATTATAAAAAGAATAACTTATCTAATGTGATCACATGTTTCGGAATTTTGACATCCGGTACAAACGAGCGTTAATTTGTCGCACTGCGTTCAGCATTATGTTGATGGAACAGTTCATGCTATCCAGCGGGTTTTGCAGCGCGGCAATTTGGATGACATCCGTGGCATGCGAAAGGACTTGTCGACGTGCGTCCCGTGGCAACAGCAAATAATCGCGCGTTTAAACGCTGTTTTTTTTTTGCAGTGGGGCAATTTAGCAGCCGTGTGTGCCGGCAGTGAAGTCCATAACTCGCTCCACAATTCATGAATCCATCCCGACCAACGAATCCAGACTAGGCAGCAGCCAGTTGAGGATTTTTTCGTCTCCTAATTTTCATAGTCTGTAGTGAAGATCAAAATGCACTTAACATACGTCAGTTTTTTTTTGCAGTTCTATCATTAAATTTGTATATTTAGTGTTTCAAAAGTGCGAGTGTTTACACAAATAATTGTGGAGTTAGACGATTTCAAGGCATGGTACTCCTAGATAATTTGCAAAGGAGTTCCACAAGCCTAATGGAGGGAGATGTTTCCACCAGTATTATTTATATTATCATTATGTTGATACAACACTCACTTTGGTAGGCATTGGTAAACAAATGAGTCAAATGTACGCACTAAAACTACGCAACTCGCAACAAACATTGCAATGCAAACATAGAGGCTTGGCTGATTCAAATCTAATCGAATTCGTTGGTCCCACTCTGAAGTCTCATTCATCCTTGCTACATACACAAATTTTCTAATTCGTGGCGTCACTGTCATATTCTGCTTGAAAGAGTAGAGTATGTAGTAATTAATTTTAATTTCATTTGCGAAAAGTTGATCCAAACTACCAGTATCTTGAATAGTATAAATCCAATAATATTACGTAAGGATCACTGTACAAAAGTGGTATTTTTCATTCTGGCCTAGGAGGGTTATTGTTACATAATATGTGTAAATTACGTGATTTTTTTTATAAATAAACATCAAAGTTGCAGTGTCTTTAAGATCTGATTAGTTTGGATGTTACATCATTACACTAATGTTCTAACTGTACTTAATAGTTCGTTACAAATACAACCTTGGACAGTGAATTTTTTATCAAATGTTCCAACAACAATTCAGAATAGTTGGGTAATCCAAATGGTAAAACCACTGATACTTTAAGAGCGATCACAGACCTTCTTCTCCACTCCAATTTGACTTCTGCGCGTCAGCACAATCAACCAACTCACCGATTGTGACTGTACTTTGCCTGGCATATAGCCATGTACGAGTCACCATATTATCACTGTATCATCTTAATTCTTATGTTTGAGTTACCTAAAATTAACTCGTAAACTTTTTCTGTGACTGTGCTTCATGTTGTCATTATGTATACTGGTACTTTCTAACTTTGATGTGGGGAGATTAGCAAGACAAATAAATAGCACAACTTTCCTCATAACCGGGCAAAAAAGAGTAACGTTATGCACACCCCTTCGGTATTGGTAACCATTCTGAACTGTTCTTAGAACATATTGTATACTTATTTTTATTTGAACGAATTTTAAAAACTGCAAGTCTCATTGCATTTCGCGATTCACAATCAAAACTTTTCAAACAGCAATAACTATATAAAAGTTTCAACAAGTATTACAGCGTGTATCTACATTATAGAATATATTATAGCATTACATTGAGGTATAGACTCGCTTTGCATATTATCAACAAATTTGAAGTATCAAAAGGAATTTATGATTATTGCAACATTTATAGCTATAAAATTTTCGCAAGGAGGGGATTAACAATGTAACAGAAGAGTTTTACATGCATATTTTTATGAAAAGCTTAATTTAGATACTCTAAAATAAGTTCTTTGGAGCATGAAAAAGAAATAAAAAACAAATGTGACAAATATGCTATTACCAACTGATACGTGGTGAAAAGTGATTTAAAACTTTGTAATTTGATATCACATTTCAGTTGATAAAAACAATATTATGTATCCCAGTAAGTTTAAAAAAACACCCCTCATATGACAACCAATTTTGTCAAGCTTCAAGTGAAGGTAAACTATTGACAGGCGCATAGACACACTCTACGCGAATATGTTTATATATAAAATCAAATAAGTATTCTTCAAAAATTCTTCATTTTTTGAGACATTTGGTAAACCCAGAACTACTATAGCATATGTATAAGTGTATAACTCACCAGGCTATTGTCACAACAAAAAAACAACAAAAACATAATGAGAACAAAGTAAAAAGATTCCTTACTCTTAGTCCCTATTATGACCGATAATCTGCAAAATGAACATGAAGATATTGATGATGTCAATGTAGATATTGATGGCAGCAAAGATGTACTCCTCGGGTGAGATGGAGTACTTGTGGTTGCCGCCCATCATCATCTGGGTGTCGTAGATCAAGTAAACCGAGAAGATCAGTGCTCCCAAGGAAGCGTAGATCAGGTTAACGATGTTGCTGCGGATGAAGATGGCGATGATGCCGAACAGAAACAGGATCATGGCGGCGACAAATAGTACGCCTCCCATCATGGTGAAGTCCCATTTCGTTTGGAAAGCAAATAGAGTCAGGCCTAAGCACACTGCTGCCGTTATGCCTGCAAAAGAAAACGATTCCAAATAGTTTGAGAGACCACATATTATTCGCATTTTTCGTGGAGAATGATATTGTTGATATATCATAACCCGACAGAAGCTCCACTCATATTATGAAGAAAGCTGGGATGATTGCCATCCTCCATTCTAATACAATAAGAGCCGCATCGCCAGTCGTTCCAACATTTGTATTGCATATATATCACAGTTTCTCTTGTCTTTTAGAAATGCGCTCTATTTTGTGGTTATGTTACAAATATCTATTTGCATTAAATTGTTAATGTTTTCTATTTTTATCATATGTTTTATTAGCCTAAAATTTCCTACCATTCATAATGAAAACATAACTAGGGCGGTTCTTATTTTAGCCCGTGAAGTCACTCACAAGGTTGTTTGCGTTCTCATAACCTTACTTATAGTATGGTTTTCGAAGGTCTTCCGAGTTTTTAATCAATTCTACACAGTTACCTTGTTTGATCGGTGAAGTGATAAAAATGCGGTTTGTCGTTGGGATGTGGTTTCGAGAATCGAAAGGTGAGTCAAACTTGACATGAACCATTTTTGTGAAAGTGACTGTAAGATCAATTTAATGCATATACATTTAGGTTTCACCCTTAAAAACTGTCGTGGACTAAATGATGTCATTTCTATTCCTACAAAAGATTCACCACCACTCTCTTTCATCACCTCAGCCTTCGACATCTAGTGCTGGAGAAAAGCGGAAAGGTGCTTACAAAAAAGGTAAAGGGCCCAACTTGTTCAGGTCGTAATAACCAAAGATGGGTAAGTTTTCAAAATTTTGGTTCGCAATGAATCAAAAGACCACAGCTTGAAAAGTTTTCCAAGTCAAAGCTAGTCAATGGTTCGATCACTTTTGTGAGGGTGGTTTATCAAAACGATCTTAAATTGTTATGTCTCAAATTGAAGAACAATAAAGTGTTTCTTAAAGTGCATGGTGATGGGATAGTTACTCGACAATAAAATTTATCAGTGACCTTCTGCTGAAGAGTATATTTACTAACCTATAAGTGCAAAATTACCACTTTTCAGGCCACGACCGTTCTTTCCCCTATAACCATTTATTCATCTTTGAAATTATACAAAAAGTGTAATAATTCACTAGACTTGTACTATGCCTATGCATGTTACACAAACAAATGATAAACTTAAGTAACAATATTGAAATATACATAAATCCTATGAAATAGCGTTTCGCATCATTGAACTCAACAAAGCTTTAAAGAATCAAAGTAATGTTTCACAGGTTAAGTATATATAATGTTTATGCATGAAACACCACTCAGGCCTAACGCCTAAAGACATGTGGATACCGTGGGGCTATAGGGGACAAGGGCAAACGCCACACACACTCTAGCGAGGAAACACGTGTGAATGCAACATGCACACGTTCTGGTCTCGCCTTAGAGATTCGCCGGGTGGTATATCCACGTTCGATTGTCCGAGACGGCCTACCACCTACAATTTGCTGATATTATGAAATAAGTCATAGTTAAATACTCCTCATTTTTTCTACAATATTTTCCTATGAACATGCTTTGTTCTTTGTGTGTGCATTTATAAACCGCATCAATAAATTTACACCTTAACTATACAGGGTGACTTGTAATGTCACGTATTCCTGTTAAGGGGTGATAGATTAGGTCAAAAGCAACCGATTTTGTCCTATAATGTCCTATCCAGAAGTTAACCGTTTTTGAGTTATTTGAATTTTATTTTTTATTCCGATTTCAGACGGTTAAATTTGAAATACAAAAAACTACATGTTTGATTTTGAGTTTTTTGTTATCGTCGCACAGTGGACATTCCAATAGTTCATAATAAGTAATAAAATGTTGAAAACTTACAAAAGTTTTAAAATTAAGCTTTTGAAATGTATGATTTTCTTATTTTTTTACTAACTTATTCGATAAAAAATGCAATTTTCTGTAAAAAATCTCCTAGTACTGAAATGTGCAAATTATGTAAGTAATATCTATATCTAACAAGCTTTCATTTGAGGTATAAAAGTTACATCTAACTCAAGTACAAAGACATAAAATTAAAAAAAGATGAGTAAAGTTGTACGAAAGATATTTACGTAGGATGAATAAAAGACTTTTATTTTAATTACAGTTTTATTTAATTACATTTCCTTTAGTATTTTACAGATTTTGCTCAAATTGTAATACCCTGTTACGAATACACGCCCGCATTCTCTTACGTAATTCACTTTTTGTAACTCTAGTTGTTAAGCGGCTTTTTATTTGTTCAGCTGCACTGATTATCCTTGTAATTAATTCATCTCGCGTTGGTACGGGCGAAACATCGTACACCAGGCTTTTCATATGTCCCCACACATAGTAATCCATCGGTGTGCGATCTGGGCTTCTTGCTGGCCAGGCAATGGGCCCGCCTCTGCCAATCCATTGATTTGGAAATTTAGAGTCTAAATACGCCCGTACTAATCTACTGTAGTGTGCGGGACAGCCGTCGTGCTGGAACCGCATATTTTGTCTCGTCGCCAATGGGACGTCTACCATTAATGGAAACAAGTTTTCAAGAACTCCATACACTTCTCCATTTAACTTGGGGGGCAGAAAATGAGGTCCAATTAAATATCCATTCCTGATGCCCATCCACACATTGACCGAAAACCGGCTCTGAGACCCCGTCGGTCTTATTTTTCGGGGGTTTAAAGCTTCTTTATCAGCCCAGTAATGAGCATTATGGTAGTTAGTGATCTCGCCCTTATCAAACTTCGATTCATCGGTCCACAGAATTTTCTTAAAATAGTCTGGATCTTCTAATCGTCTTGCAGGATCGCCCTCTTCAATCACATGCACAGGCGTGTAGTGATAAGGGCATTATCTTGCAGTATGCACAGTAAACCATACTTTGTATTGTGATATACCCAACTGAGCAGCCACAATGCGCGTAGACGTAGTAGGGTCTTCCTGAAACACACGAAGAATTTCCTCTTCATCTTCAGGGGGATAGACTCGGGGTCGACCAGCCCACTATGTTGCCTTTGAACACGTCCGGTTTGGCGGATGCGCCGATACACAGAGTCAAACACAGTAACATGAGGTGTTCGGCAATTCGGGAAACGTTGCCGATATTCACGGCGGGCAGCTGCAGAATCGCCGTTACAAAGTCCATAACAGAACATTATGTCTACGTATTCTTCATTTGTAAAGGTTTGCCCGTGCACGCTATGGCGAGGTCCTGGCGGATCTTCTGCGTCTGCCATGATGATAAAGAAACCACTCGAAATGAACTGGGAAACTCAAAAATAATAATCGTGCGTAAAACGTGTGCGCGTACGCAGTAGTTGAAACCAACTACACCTAATTCTCACTCGGCGTGCGGCGATGGCGTAACTACAATGATGAATAATAACAGCTGTCTCTCTCTCACTCCTCCACTAAGTCAGCTCTTCTCGCTCGCTTCCTCGTCGAGCCGATGCCATTAAACAATCATGGCATGCGAGTCCTTTGAGGACAGTAACGACTTGTTCAAATAGGTAATACAAATTCCTTAAAAATCCAGCCTCTGTGGGTGTAATTGTTGTTTCTCTGCATGTACTTCAGATAATTGAACGCTCAATACCTCAAATGAAAGCTTGTTAGATAGAGATATTATTTACATCATTTGCACATTCCATTACTAGGAGATTTTTTACAGAAAATTGCATTTTTTATCGAATAAGTTAGTAAAAAAAAAAGAAAATGATACATTTAAAAAGCGTAATTTTAAAACGTTTGTAGTTTTTCAACATTTTATTACTTATTATGAACTATTGGAATGTCTGCTAAGCGACGATAACAAAAAACTCAAAATCCATCATGCAGTTTTTTTGTATTTCAATTTTAACCGTCTGAAATCAGAATAAAAAATAGAAAACTTAAAATTCAAATAACTCAATAATGGTTAACTTTTGGATAAGACATGGTAGGACAAAATCGGTTCCTTTTGACCTAATCTATCACCACTTAACAGGAATACGTGACATTACAAGTCTGCGATTGTTCTTTTTGTGCAAAACCTAACATCCCTCAATAAACTTTCATGTATTTTCCCCTAAAAACCTTGTATGTGTATATAGATCTTGCACCTTTCATGCAAGATTGAGCCAAGAACGTTAAAGAAACTGACTGTACAGTAAAACTACAATACAAAAAATAGAATAAAAATTCCAATAAAAATACCCAAAATTAAAGTGGTTTTGAATTTCGGGTTTATTGAATGAACTTGAACATTTTCTGTGCTATACTTTTGTTGTAACTGCGAAAATAGACGCGTTTCGGGTAATACGTACGATATCCATACGATATCCTCAATGAGACTCACTTTCTGAGGGTGTCATACGTGCGGCAGATCAAAGCTAAACAGATGGGAATTCGGCTCTCATTGGTATCTATTGCTTATTATTTTTTTATATATAAAGGAACTAGTTGACAACACAAAATAACAAGGTAAAAAGCAAGTTCTATAGAACAAAATCAGTGTGGCTTTACTGTAAATTTATAAATCATTCTACTACTGTGCCGCCGGACCATTTGAGAGTCTTGGTCACCGCTATCCTATTTGACGGTGGCGGGTATGGAAGAGGATTTCGATGAGTTACTAGAATACTCGCTGCTGCTGGTGCACCTCTTATCTATAAAAGCTGTCCCTAAAGGCGGAGACTAAACGAAGGGTTGATAAGGGGGGGTCCATTTCAAAAGAAAACCCAATTATGTCATCCCATTGTGTGCGGTTTTTGAGTTGTCGTGATTTTGAATTTGTAGAAAATCGTTACGTTTAATGTAATTCCTAAAACGTATCCTGTGGGTTTCATGTTCATAGGACTCCATTGTCTGGCCGAATCAAACCAGATATATGTTTTAATTTCTGTTTATTGTCCCTTTGTGCTTTGGAAACAGGAATGCCTACCACAGGTGATCCTGGGCTTTTCTGGTTTTACGCGGTGTCATCTTAAAATTATAATGATGACTTCGCGCGATCTCGGCATGCTACGGGACAGTTGAATCTATTGCCGCATCATACTGTATAGAAATTAAGGGAAGAAAAAATAAATGATCTTTTACCTGGATGAGAGATAAACAAAACTATACTGTCATTGGTTGTCAATGTACTAGAACAAGAATACCGTGGTGGCCGAAACGTCGTACAATAAACAGAAATTAAATCATGTATGTGGTTTGATTCGGCCAGACAATGAAATCCTATTGCTGCTTTTATTTTATAACCATCTTTACGCGATATGTTGCCAAAATTATGTATCAATGCAGCGTACTCACGTAGCCTTGTACAAAAAAAAAATAGTGGGCAGATCTGATCATAGCTTGGAAAATATTCCTGATATTATGGCCTCCCAGAATACATTTTTGAGCATCAAATATCCTAAATAGTTTATGCGCAAGATAGACAAAATGCAGCAGATGTTGACGATGAGCCATCTAGTAGTGTGTGATTTCACGTAATTTTGGTGTAGCTAGGTTCGTTTCACATTCAACGTGTGCTAGATCTTTCTTCCATGAGACTATTTTGCGGAAGGATGCTCCAACAAAAACATCTTATGGCGGTAACTCAAAAACCGTGCACAATCGGAGGACAAATATGGGTTTTCTGATTGGAAAAAAGGCAGTATGTACTATACATATTACTAATAATCACAGTAGTAAAACTTACCGACAGCCATAGCAACAGCTTCCGCGTCATACGTCGACGCTGCTGTGGCTAACATAAACGACTCAGCTAGGGTGAAGATAAATAGGAAAATGAAATTCATAGGCGGCTTCCTCCTGAGGTCTCCGCAACAGGCCAGTGCGATCATCGTTACCAAGAGTATTGCCAAGGCGATAAAAAATAGTTCTGTATGAGCTTGGACATAACTGGAAACAAAAATAATTAAACTGAAACCTTCTTTTAATCTAGAAACCAATTTTTGAATCACGGAAAATATTTTTATTAGAATAATGACAACATCCTTATTGAAAACTGTTGTTTGGTATACTACAACTATTTAAAACTGTAATGACTCATACGCGTGATCAACACGTGATCAGAGCTCGATCCCGGCTTCCTTCCAGTACAGCCGTATAGCGTACGACATTTGTCGTTTCTGTGGCTTTGCGGTGGTCAACAGCACAGGCAGAGATGGAAATATAGTCTTGTAGACCCCCTTGGGACTATTTTACGATTTATGATTCTCATAGGAAAATCATTCCATCCTATGGTTTTGCTTCAGAGAAATTGTCGGCGGTAGGGAAATTACGTAAAAAACTGACAAGATGTCAACTTGCTGTCTAAATAGTTCCTAGTGTACAAATAGTACATTCCGCGTTTGCTCGCTATGAGCGTCTGTCTATGGAGGAACGACTCAATGACACAAGACGCTACTTTTTAGGTTGCAGAATGCCGAGTTAGTCTGTAGTGTATACTCTGAGAAGATGAGTGGTGTGGTTAGGTAGCAGAGTAGTCAGATACATCTGGATGGTTGTGTTTATTGGTCTTTTCAATGCACTATACGTAAAACGTCGTCATCCACATCGTTTTGATTTATAGTTGTCATATTTGTCATAATGAAAGAAATACTGAATTTGATGTGGCGCATGCTGCTTGGGATGCTAGGTGTCCTTTACTATTTACAGCGAATTGAAGAGTTTAAATCCAGGTTGATTTTTTCCTGATTCCGAACTTCCCGGTGAATTATATAGCAATGAATATCATAACTCTCGCACAGCACACTCCTCATGTCCTGTTAAAGAAACTCTTTCTGTATATTACCAGAACGTTCGGGGATTAAACTCCAAATGTCAAGATTTCCTTCTCAATGTAACAATATCTGATTATGACATCATTTGCTGTACTGAAACTTGGCTGCAATCAGGGGTACTCAATGCAGAGCTATTTACAGTCCAGTACTGTGTTTTAGGTCTGATAGGGACTTAGTTAACCTAGAATGTACAAGAGGAGGTGGGGCTCTAATTGCCATGAAAGACTGGTTGAATTCGTCTGAAATTGATACAACTGCTGTTAAGAGTGATATCCCGTGTATAGAACTGGTAGGCGTTCAGTTTACCATTCAATATAAAACCACATACATATTTGTGGTCTACATACCACCCAATACTAGCGTTGCATGTTATGAGCGCTTATTTGAGCATCTAGAATCTTTGACATACCTCTCTGGTAATGATGTTTATTTTCTTGGGGATTTCAACATTCCAGAGTTTTGTATACAGAATATCTCACCATCACGCAAATTGAATGTAGTTGACTCCTTTACAGCATATTTTAACTTCTTACAATACAATCGAATTCTTAATATTAACAATAGATTGCTTGACCTAGTGTTCTCCAACAAATCATGCTTGGTGACTAGAGCATACGATGACCTATTGCCCGAAGACTCACATCATCCTCCACTTTGTATTACATTACACAGAAACTCTCGTAGCAAAACCTGGTCACAATCAAATGATGTTACCTTCAATTTTCGCAAAGCTGATTTTGTTACATTGTATGAACAATTGACACTTATGGACTGGTCATTTCTTGAGGATATTGCGGATGTCAATATTGCTTGCACTCTATTCTACAATAACCTAATAAATATTTTCAACATGTGTATTCCGAAAACTAAGCGTAGGCCTGGCAAATTTCCACCCTGGTACACTCGCGCAATCATCAAGGATATTAAACAAAAGAATTCACTACAAAAATTATACAAAAAACGTCAAGAAGTGAGTGTCTATGATACATGTAAAGAATTAAGATCCAAAATTAAAAGAGACGTTAGTCATGCGTATAAAAAGTACATAGAGCAGACTGAAAATTGCATAAAAAAAGATCCAAATCAGTTTTGGTCCTTCATCAAAAGTAAAAGGCACAGTGGCCTTTCACCTTCTGAATTCACTCACAATGATTGTGTTTTCAATAACCCTGTTGATATAGCAAATGCCTTCGCTAATTTTTTCCAGTCTGTGTATTCTACCCCCAATGTAGCAGCTAGGCCAGATGATGATATTATTGCTACAAACAATATTGTGTTGAATAGCTTCACAGAAAATGAGGTTCTTATGGCATTAAAGAAAATGAAAAACAAATTCACTAGTGGACCTGATGGTATGCCTGCATTCTTAATCCGTGATTGTGCACCTATTCTTGCTGCACCTTTAACTAAAATCTATAACCTAAGTATCAGATCATATACATTTCCTGAGATTTGGCGTGAAGCCAAGGTTCGACCTATCCATAAAAATGGAAGCCGTAAATCAAATGAAAACCATAGGCCTATCACTATTGTGAGTAATTTTTCGAAAACGTTTGAAATGTTATTACATAATTTCATACAATACAACGTAAGTTTTTCAATTTCTACAGCACAACATGGATTTGTAAAAGGAAGGTCGACAACAACAAACTTAAGTCTGTTTAACTCAATTCCTAGCAGGTGTTTTAGATTCTAATGGTCAGGCTGATGTGCTATATACTGATTTCAGTAAAGCGTTTGATAGAGTCGATCATGGTTTACTACTGGGAAAACTAAGTAGCATTGGCTTATCAAAAAATTTGGTATTATTATTTCAGTCGTATTTGTCTGATCGCAAACTATATGTGGATTTTAACGGTGGTAAATCAATTCACTTTTTTCCATCTACTGGCGTCCCACAAGGATCTTCCTTAGGTCCACTACTATTCGTCATTTTTATTAATGACTTAGTTAATACGATTGACTGCAATATTCTGCTCTACGCGGACGACGTAAAACTGTACTGGCAAATTGATGATCCATCTAGTTGCTTTTATTTACAAAGGAATCTTGACAGAATGTCTGAGTGGTGTGCTGCTAATAAACTTCCTATCAACGTGAGCAAATGTAAATCTTTAACTTTCACTAGGAGAGTAAATTCAATTACCAATAGTTATAAAATTAACAACACTCCTCTTCAGACTTTAGAGGAGTTTAGGGGCCTAGGAGTAATATTTGACAGGACATTGAGCACACCTAACTAATTTAGTGAATTCTGCCAACAAAGCACTGGGATTCGTTATACGCAATTCAAGAGAGTTTATCGGTACCACAGCACCTACAGTGCTGTACAATTCGTTTGTTCTTTCTAAGCTGGAATACGGAATCTGGAACCCATGCTATGTTACCTCATGTGACTCACTGGAAAAAATTCAGAGGAAGTTCTTGAAGTATTTATCTCTCAAATCTGATGGTGTTTATCCTCCCATAGGGATTTTACAAAATTACTTACTTCAAAAGCATAGGTCTCTCAGCCTTGATGATAGAAGGAAGATACAATCTTTAGTCTTTTTGTTCAAAGTTATAAATTACCAACATGACTGTCTATCATTTTTGTATATGCTAAATTTCAATATACCTAGAGTACGAACAAGGGCCAACCTTGCCTTTTACCTACCTACCCCACGAACGAATCTACTGCTGCACTCACCGCTATATTCGAAATGCTCATGTTATAATGACTATATGAATTATTTTGATATCTTCAACACATCCATTTCTATTATTAAGAGAGTATGTAAAGCGGTAGTTTTGTTAGAGCTACCACAGTTTGACTGAGCTATGATCAGTGGTAGCTTTTCATGGGTTCTTTTTGGTAACTACTAAGCAATCAATGCAATTAGTTTATTTTGTGATTTTTATATATATGTACTGTATTTCCCACCAGTAATTGGTTTATAAACTGTTGGTGGTGTAATTAAATAAATAAATAAATATTTACAGACCTCAGCTAGTTGTCAAAGGCGAGGTGTCGTCCTTAGGGAAATACTCTAACGTTATTTCCTTATTGCATTACAGAACAAACACCATGTGCACAGAATTGTTACTTCAATGGGAAAGTTCCTTTGGAATATTTTCCTGAGTCGAGAATTGGTATACATATTAAATTTCGCTTATTTGACCCTATGTAAACATTTCAATCGCTTAAATGTAGGTGTCAATTCGTCATAGGTCTTGGATAAAGTTGGTCATACGCATGCAACAGGCCAATTTATACTAAGTGACATATAAATCCGAACACCCAGTTTAAATGGTTTTATTTTAATAAAATTTTGTATAAGTACTTAATGAAGCATAATAAGTAAATGATAAAAATTTCAAAATGATTGCACTGCTTTAAAGCCCTTTGACCTTTAATAATGTGTGGATGCACCCTGATGTGCTACGCATTCTCCAACGCGCCTAGGCATGCTTCTGATCAGGTGGTCAATGTCCTCCTGTGGTATCTCATTCCAGGCAACCACTAACTCCTCTCGAAGTGCTTCTAGAGTCTGAGGAGGACGTTGCAAATTGAGCAATCTCCTACCCATCATATCCCACACGTGCTCAATTGGGGATAAGTCGGGAGATCTTGGTGGCCATGGTAACAAGGTGACATCATTATGTTGAAAGAAGTCTATTGTGACTCTTGCAACATGTGGTCAGGCATTATCTTGTTGGAAAGTTGGATCTGCCAGGGTGTCAAGATAGGGTAAAAGATGGGGTTCTAGAACTTCGTGGATATAACGCTGCGCGTTCATGTTACCTCTGATGAAGATTAAAGGTGACCTGGAACCATAAGCTATAGCACCCCAAACCATAACTCCAACAGTGTGATGAACATGTCTTTCAACAAAAAACTGTGGATTCCTCCTTTCACCACGCCGCCTTCTAACCCTGGTACGACCATCGTGCATGCCTAAACAAAATCGAGACTCGTCAGTAAAGACAATACTGTTCCATTCCTGATCCCAGAGTGACCGTTGTCTGCACCACTCAAGGCAATTACGTCGGTGTTCTCGAGTTAAAGGGAGGACCCAGTGTGGCCGGTATGAAAACAAGCCAAAACTTCTCATTCGTCGGTAAACACTTCGCATGCCAATAGGTCTTCCGTGTTCTGCAAACCATTCATTTGCAATCGTCCTGGTAGTGGAGAAACGGTCCCTTAAGGCCAATAATCTTAGGCGGCGATCTTCACGGTCTGTTGTTCTACGGCGGCGTCCAGTGCCCCTTGCTCTTTTCGTACGGCCTTCTCGAAGCCATGCCTGACGACACCTAACCACAGTGTCTACACTTCTTTGCACTCTAACTGCAATTGCCCGAAAAGAAAGTCCAGCTTCCCGAAGTCCCACTATTCGGCCCCTATCCAACTCACTAAGTTGACGAAATCGTACAGGTCTCCGTACTCTAGGCATCGTAACCGATCGTAAAGGATGTCAAGAACCAAAATCTGCCAACGTTGATTCTTTACTGCGGCTGAAATATTCATTTTTAGAGCGTTAGTGAATTAAAAAAAAAACAGTATAAAAACTGGAATGTCCAACTGATAAGGCTGAAAATTTTTTCACTTGTTATTTACAGTAAGATAAATACATTCACCAACTTTTATTAAAATAAAACCATTTAAACTGGGTGTTCGGATTTATATGTCACTTAGTATACATTGAAATATCCGAATTTGGAATTTTGAGGGCTGGAACATTTAATTTTTTAATTTTTAAGGAGGAAATGAGCGGAAAAGATATCAGAAACGAGATACACTGGTTGGAGGAGACCAGTGGCGGATCTAGAAAATATTTTTGGAGGGTGGGTGATTTACGGACATCCAGGACACAGGACAACTCCCCCTGCAGGAGACATCCTTAATTTCACTAATATGTTGCATTTTAACTATTTTGTTCGTTGACTTATCTAAAATAGAAGATTTTTCTATGACTTACTGTTTTGTCTTGTGATCATAAAGGAACCAGCAGATGAATCCTAAGGTAATTCCCAGCTGTACAGTAAGGATTGAGTACACCTTGCGAATGAAGGACCTTCTGATGCTGGCATCGCTGAAATCGAAGCCTTTGACCTCGGGATCTTCGCCGCCCGCGTACGCACCGCCATAGTTGCCTGAAAATTTAATTCTTCAAACTTTATGCTTCTATTAATACTCAGGAACAGGTATTATATTCCCACTGTAATGATAAAACAAGACTTAGGGATAACAGGCTCATTTACAATGACTATCTCGCACATCAGAAACGAAACAATAAGTAGTAATACAGTTTTCGTTCGTCTGACCACAGTGGTTGATTCTGATAATAGATGGTAATAAGGTTATTACTTAAAACTGAAGCTATTGCTATTACAACTGCTGTTTCTGCTCTATACATTTATAACATATACATTCCGTAATTTCACGGGCGCATTCCTGAATCAAGTTCAAGTATAAAAGTTCAGCGATTTTTATTTTTTCGTTTTGGACCTTTTTCTCCGCCGCCACTGGACCGATTTCGAAAAGTTATTTCGTCCCTGGCATACTAGTAAACCTGTGTGAAATTTTCAACGAAATCCAGCCAGTACTTCCAAAGTTATAGGTGGGTAAAGGATAAGCGAACAGACAGACTGATGGAAATGAGAACCATCTCTTTTTTGAAATTTTTCGCAAAATCAATATTTCCTCGCATAGTGGCGTAGGAAGTAAAAATGGCTTATAAGTAAATATTGTGCATCCATCAAATTTAATTTTATTTTAAAAATTTTTCGACACTTAGAAAAGTTGATTTTCTTTTTTCCCTCAAAAATTCAGTATTATATGAAGGGATACCAAGCGACAAAAAACTGGTATCTTTATATGCTTAGATCAAACAAATAAAATGTTCTTAAAACGTGAGTGGTTCACATTTTGTTGTCAGTCTGCCAATATTACATATTCGTGAGACTGCCCGAGAGACGCAACTGGAATTCATAATTAACTTCTATTTAGTGCTAACCTAGAATTTTGTATTGAAGTACACTGCCAAAATTCAAGAAATTCGGTACTAATAAAAAAACACTTTTTATCTTTGACCGCTTGCATCTTGGAAACCAGAGCAGTATGTAAGTAGGGCGAATTCAAGACTGGACAGTTAATACTGAGTAAAGCAAAGAGTCTGCTATGAGGACATCAAGTACTATCAAGCTTCACAGTAGAGAAGTGGCTACAGCTTCAATTGTATATTTAATTTCCGTTCAAGTCCAGTTATCATGCTCATATTTGTCTTGATCATCAAGGCAAGCATGTTCAGTTTCACAAATTTCTAGACTGTATAGAATTTTTCATGACATATTTTTATTGAAACATAAACATGCTATAGCGAAATTACAAATATTTTCAATTGTTTAATATCGGATTGATACACAGGACCGTATTTCAAGGGGGTCTTCTATATAACATTTTTTTTTTCGAGGACTAAAAAGAAGTTCAAAAATAAAAAACATTTTTTTTTAATATCTTCAAAACCGTCAACTTCAATGAACTAAAATTTGGTATGTGGATTTACCTATTGTCTACATTCAAAAGTCTTTACTTAAAATTAACGTGCACCAGTGGCGAAGATACAGGGGATTAGTGGCATTATTTTTCTAAATAAAAATAGTACGCCACTGTATTTTTTTCTAAACGCACAATTTTTCAAATTTTACCTTCAATTTTCTACAAATGATTACTCTTGTGTTTTTCCTAGAGTTCACTGTTTTCGTAAAAATAAAACAAATAAGATCGTTCATGATAAGCAAAAAGATACAATTAGTTTAAAAAAAAATAGGTCTTGATACCAACTTGACGTTCCATGGGAGATAGTTTGACAAAGCTATGTGTTATACGGTTGTTATCGTTATCACTATCATTTTTTTTTTTCTGTAAATCAAGTCAAAAGTTTCTTTTTTCCATTTTTGAGTGTTGTGAAATGGAATTTAGCAATGATGAGTACGCCGATATTATTTTTGTGTACGGGTTCTTTAATGGAAATGCTTTAGTGGCTCCTCGGAAGTATCAACGTAGATTTTCTATCAGACGCCAACCTACCCAAAACGTTTTTACGCGTTCATTTCTAAGACGAGAAATCGAGAAGTTTTATATCCTTACCATCGGCAAAATGTGCAATGTCTGCAACCCGGCCACGAGGTATTTGGTCGTAAGAAAATCCCCGTTCTGTTTGAATCCTCTCGTTTCAACACAGATTTTCTACAAATGTCTGGTGGGGCATTTTCAATGGCCAACTGTTTATGAACGTATTGCCACAACGTTTAAATGCAAACTCATACTTAGCTTTTCTAGAGTACATAGAAAATGTGTTAGATGATGTTCCGATAGGAACAAGAGTGTGGTATCTGCACGACGGTGCCCCGCCGCATGTTTATCGTGACATAATCGCATGGTTAAATAATAATTTTAGACAACGATGGATTGGCAGAAACGGACCCCTACAATGACCTGCGAGGTCTCCTGATTTGAAGCCCCTGAATTTATTTTTGTGGGGCGCTTTTAACAACCAGTGTATGCTGAACAAATTAATACTGCTGGTCAGTTACAAGAAAGAATAGATAATGCGTTTCATCAAATTCAAGCCACAACAAATTTTGCGGAAATACGTGTTTCTTTATTAAAAAGATACCGCACTTGTATCCGTAAGAATGATGGTCTTTTTGAACATTTATTGAAATAAAGCTTTGATTTTATCTATTTTTTTTTATTTTTACGAAAGCAATGCACTATAGGAACAAACACAAGAGTAATTATTTGTAGCAGATTGAAGGTAAAATTTGAAAAATTGGGCGTATAAAAAAACAGTGGTGTCCTATTTTTACTTGGAAAAGTAATGCCACTAATCTCCTGTATCTCCGGCACTGGTGCTCGTTAATTTTAAGTAAAGACTTTTGAATGTGGCCAATACTTAGGTAAATCCACATACCAAATTTTGAGTTGACGGTTTTGAAGATATTAAAAATGAATTATTTTTCATTTTTAAACTTCAACATCCCGTATTTTTTTAATGAAGCCCTCGTAGAAAAAATGTTACATAGAAGATCCCAATTATAATGCGGTCCTGTGTATGATGTTTTATATTTGGTCACGACTTGTGAATCACCCTGTAGATTGGTAATTTGGTACAGGATATATATAATGTAGGTGTACGTTTCATGCACTACCCGCCCAGATGTGTACACTGTTGAAATATTTTAGGTGATGGAAAATTTATTAAGTTTCTCTTCAATTATTTTGAATCACGAACATTGGGTAATTAATTGATAGACAAAACTATATTTTAATTACTTCTGACACTTATCACGACTGCAAGCTAGTCTTTTTACATATGCCAACTACAGAAATGTAGCTTATTCTAAAAATCTGTCATGAAAGAATATTGCTTATACATACTGTATAAACCATATCTGTTTCCATGCAAACAAGTAACATGCAGGTCATGCGCTACAAAATGTCAAGCAATCAAGCATGATGTTTCTGTCAATTCAATTTTAAAATACATCCTTCACTCTGATCCATCTTGTCAAGATGTATAATAAACGGTTAAAGATGCAGACAAACTGTAGTTTTATTTGCTACGCATCACACTCTCTTGAATACAATTTTATAATTCGTAAGTAAGGTGTTTTCCTACTACCTATATAAGCTAAGTCCTAGCATGGATAAAAATAGCCTTGTTCTAGGAATGATTTTAAAACGGTTTGTATCTGTCGAATTCAGAAAGTTGCACAACCCTGTGTCAAACTAAATTGGTCAACTATTCCCAACGGTCCACAACTGCCAGAAAATCGGAACAATATTCAAATAACGTACTTTTTACCACACCCGGCAGCATACCCAAGAAATATTGTAATTTTGGCAGAAATGAAATCAATAAATTGCCTTTTTCTGTCAAAAGGTATTAATTTGATCAAAAGGAAACGCACACTCGGGCTATGTACATGATGACTCAGTTATTTTATGTTTGTAAATTGCATGTATTAATTCCACATCCATCAACTATTCCCATCGCATACTAAAACAATGAGTAAAACACAAAAAACTATTTATTGCAGTACCAGGGCTGTTGTATAAAATTACTTCATACGTCCTCGTTGATAATAACAGTTTTCACAGATTTATAATCCAACATTTATCAAAAGCATCATTGAAAAAATAATCTTTACGGAAACTCTTAAATCTTCACTATGACTTCAGTTCAACAGTCAAAAATACACTACTAAAATTTTGTATGAACTTTGATTATAGCAGCTAATAAAATCCAAAGAAGTGTGATTTTCAGCCGTGATAAATAATGAAATTGCAAGGGTGAATGATGATCCATACTATAAAGTGTTGTATCATAATAAAAATTTGGTTACAGCATGGTTACGACTATGAGGAGGACAACATTTTTAATGGGATCCGATCGAAATAAAAAAATGTTATTTTCGCTTTTTAGCGTTCGAAGCCTTTATCCGACATTGGAAAATTGTTTAAGGAGTAAATGTTTAGGGTGCATGGTTGGCTAAATCTTTTTAGATTATGTTTCCCCATACTTGTTTTAAACTCCTCCCTACTACTGCATGTTCCTTGAAAGTCAACAATCTTGCGAAAAATTTAGAAGTGTGGCCATTTTAAAACTCGACAGTTGATAATGAAGAATGCAGGTAGCATTTCTTTTAGACAGAAAGCAATGCAAAAAATATTAGCAAGCTTTTCAGTGGAGAACTTATTAAATCTTTCTTTATATTAGATGCTCGTCCTATATTAATATGTTCAGTCACAACAATTGCTTGCTTATCAAGGCAATAATGTCCTGTTTTGCAAATTCCTAACATATATTTTATATCATGTGTGCATAATTTGAAACTTTGGCCAATAGGAGTCAATCTTATTTTTTTATACAGACGCCACTAAAGATGTAGCTTTGAGGGATGATTCAAACTACAGTATTACCATATTTATATCCCAGCCCTATTAAGTATATGTTCAGCTAAGTTTAGATTTGGTTCACCTATTTTTGCAACATAAACATGCTTCAGATTCGACATGAAGCAAAATGAATCATCCCTCCTAAACTACTAGATTTAGCTATAACAATCGTGCTAGATGAAACAATTCTGAACTCCCAAGAAAGCAATATGCAGGGTATGTGAAAAACAGTGGCAATATTTCTCCCTTAGAAAAAATGTTTTATCAGCGAGAAAAAATCGAAGTTTTACATTGAAAATATGCTGCAGGTAGTAAAGCTTGACACTAGACATTGTATGTAAGGATATTAGTGAAGTATTGCCACTGCACCTCAGTTACGAGTTATTGGGAGCATATTGATGACCTATCTACTATCAAATGCACACTGCCTTCTTTTTTGACCCACATTTTATAGGATTTTTTGTTATTTTTTATGTACTTTCTAATCTAGAAGCCACTGAACACTTTATGTGCACTACAGAGTTTTTATTTTCTATTTCCGTCACCTTAATCAAACATTTTACCGAGGTACCACAACCCTGGTATGCACACTGCCTGCAGCTCGCCCAAAAAATCGAACACAAAGAAATAAAAGGTAAACCTAAATAAAACGAACCAGTAGAAGTGTAACGGAAGGGTGTATGTTCACCTTGGTAGGGATCCTGGCCCCCATACGGCGGCTGGTAGCCGCCCTGGTTAGGGGGCGGGTACATTCCGGGTTGTGGTGGTGGAGGGTAGCCCCCTGGTGGGGGGTAACCTCCCGGTGGAAGGGGGTAAGCACCACCCTGTGAAGGGGGGTTAGCTCCACCCTGCGGAGGCGGGTACCCCGGCTGACCGGCGTAGTACGCCTGGTTCGGATCTGAGAGACACAAGTAAGGAAGTAAGTTAGCCAACTATCGTTTAGTCAAACGTCACCGGGAGAATGATTGATGAATAAATGAAACGTTTTTAGATTTTGGTGATGAGGGAAGATGATGTTTAGAATGACCACCTAAATCTAGGAGTTGACAATACTTCATAACTCATTTCAGGTTAAGTACTGGGCTAAAATATATTCCCATTTTATTTCAACTTTACATTCAAGTAAAACGTAGCTTCTCATAAGAATTTATATTTGAGGCAAAACCACGCCAATCTAATCATGTAACCTGTGACATGCTTGTTCAATGAAAGTGCGAGAGCCCACCGCGGACGGTTAGAGCTCTACCTTACCGAGACAGCGTGGAGACGCCAGCACCCGTAGCCAAAGTTAGCCATTCATATATTGATTTTAGTTTATATGGCCACTAATCGCATGTCAGGCAGCCATATATTTTAATAGGTTGGTTTGACTACGAATGCTGACCACGTCGCCATGGACCCCCCAGTGAGGGAGGGCTCTTACCACTTTTATGGCTGGTCATCCTCAGATACAGGGCCAAGCGATGATCTAGGTGGACAGGAATTGATAGCGAGCGCCACCAGGCACGTATGTACGATCCAACCTGTAACTGGAAACAGCCGTGGGATCGCCCCCTGCAAAACTGAAGTGGGCGCTCGCACAAATAAAGAACGGTTAACCAGTTCGCGTAAAAGTTCATGTTAATTTGACACTAGTATTTACTTAACAAATGCCTCCGTTAATATTATAGATGTGGAAAATTACTTCCAGTAATGGTCAATGTTGTACCGAAATGAAAAAAAACATGGTTCGATTGTTGGATCTGTTTGATCTGACTAACAAAACAACTTTTGTGACACCATAAACTTCATACTTACTTACATATTTCACACTTTTTAAGATGTGCTGTTATATGACCTAATTTTCATATGAAACATATCGTTTGGTTTTTGCTTGGCATTTCCGCTCACATAGCACAGGGATTGAAAATACCTAGTAATGTTTCATTAAAAAAAAAATAATTTGAATTATTAAATACGTTCATTTGTAATTGTTTAGATTGCGTATCAATAGATCTTGAATTGAATCATATATTATATATACAGGGTGACTTTGAAGTTGAGTCATTAATTTTCAGATAATGATTGTAGAAGGAAGATAAACCAGAATATGTGTGTAAAAATAAAAAAAAATTAAAAAAAAATTTTTACCTTGTTTTATAAAGTATCCTCCCGACAAGTATTTCAGTGCGGACCTGTATTTGATCGTGAGGTCCCCTGTGAGGTCTTCAAGTCACCTGATTCACGAGCCCGTTGTACTACATTAACAAAGGCACGAGGGGTTGGTTGCACTCGATTGGGAAACCGATCCGCATAAACATGTGCCATTTTTTATTTCGTTTGAGCCACGCAACAGACACTATTCACACGCTAACCGACTGTATGTATAACTGAACTGAATAAAATACTTAATTGCAAAAACGTCGTTCCAAATTCTTTCGCTTTTTTGTTTCCGATGCGATGAACCGGTAAGGCGGATTATATCCGTTGTTGCCAAACACGAGTACATGATATTATTATTGAGACAGGGCGGTACTCAAACTTCCAAAGGGCTATAACTTTGTTACTTTAATTTTACCAGAAAAATGGTAAAGTCACCCTGTATATACAGGGTGACTTCGAAGTTGAGTCATTTATTTTAACAGTGAGTAGATCTGATCAAAAGAAATGTTTTTTTCCTTTACCATTTTTCTGGTAAAATTAAAGTAACAAAGTTATAGCCCTTTGGAAGTTTGAGTACCGCCCTGTCTCAATGTGCTCGTGTTTGGCGACAACGGATATAATCCGTCGTATCGGTTCATCGCATCGGAAACAAAAAAGCGAAAGAATTTGGAACGAATTATTTCATTCATTTGTATACAGTCAGTGTCAGTGAATAGTTGTATCTGTTGCGTGGCTCAAACGAAATAAAAAATGGCACATGTTTATGCGGATCGGTTTCCCAATCGAGTGCAACCAACCCCTCGTGCCTTTGTTAATGTAGTACAACGGGCTCGTGAATCAGGTGACTTAAGACCTCACAGGGGACCTCACGATCAAATACAGGTCCGCACTGAAATACTTGTCGGGAGGATACTTTATAAAACAAGGTAAAAATTTTTTTTTAATTTTTTTTTTATTTTTACACACATATTTTGGTTTATATTCCTTCTACAATCATTATCTGAAAATTAATGACTCAACTTCAAAGTCACCCTGTATATATATATCATATACGTATATACAGGGTGTTTCAAATTCGACCCTCACCATGGGGATCTCGGAAACTGTAAGAGATACAAAGTGACTTAAATGGGGGCAAGGTTGCGTATTAACAATAAAATGCCACTTAGAAATTTCGAAATTCAAAGTACTTCCGGAGAGAAACGGGAAAAACAGATTTTCCAAAAATCGTTTTAGAGGAGAAAAAGAGACAATGTCACATGCAATTTATTTTGGAATACCATCTCGTATGAGGTCAGGAAAAAAAAGTGATTGGGAAAAATCTGCCTTTTTCGTCTCTGTCCGGAAGCACTTAGAATTTTGAAACTTTCTATGCCGCATTTTGTTGATTACATAAATAGGCAACTTTGTCCCCATTTAAGCGCTTTCCGATATTTTGTAATAAATTCAAAAAGGGTGATTTTATTCTAATGAATAATAAAGAAATTCCATAAAAATTTGTTTTACAAAATAAAAATCTAAGGGACTTCCTTATACAATTTTCTTTAGCCTACATTTTAGGTTCGGAACAAGAATCGAGATGCGCGAGCTTGTTTAGACATCATTTAGCTAGTTTTTCATATAAAAATCGGGTGTAAAAATCATACCAATGCATTTAATTTTTTTGAGAAAATTAATCATTTCTGTCGGAATGTCGAAAAAAGCCCTCTAGCGGTCACATATGAAACTAACAAAACTTCAAATATTATAACATTTGTAGCCCAAGAATAGCTATTTTCAACTATCTAAAGTTTGTTAAAATCGGCTCAGCAGATACAGCAGAACATCACTTTTTTAAATTCAAGATTGCAATTTCGCCTCTAGCAGCCATTTCAGAAACATGAAATTATTTCCCAGGTTTTTCTCTTGGCCGTTTTAGTAATAACTTTTTTCCATAAGCCTCTATCATGGATAGGCTCCCAGATACAGTACCTAGTATTCTTAGTTGGCCATCCTGTACAATTCCATTCACAGTTAGGTTAGGTTAGGTTTCTTGTGAGTGCATTAATAACGATCCTCCACTGCGACTCTCTGGACTATATTTATATTTCCTCCAGTAGCTCCGACCTCCTGAGGAATTTGATTAACTTGTTTGGAGAAATATCCTTCAGGTCTTCTGCTTGGAGTACTACTATGTCATACCTGATTCTGGCAATTGCAGGGCATCTGCACAATACATGCCTGACCATTATGTGGCTGAAGTACCGATCGATCGAGCGCGATCGAAAACTTTATAAAGGCAGCAGTGCACAAAATTTGTCATTGTCAAATATACGTACAACCTCGTAATTTGGCTTTAAATATGCGTAAATCGATCCGGTTTTCACGTAATAATGTTTATTTTATGTGTTTTTATGTATTTATGTATTGTGTGAGTATGCCCTTCCTCCCCAAGAGGAACTCCAAAATTGGTGGGGGAATACGAAAAAAATTAAAATATAAAATATTTATACACACATATATAAAAAATGATATACACCTGCGGTATTCAACATAGTCGCATGAGACAGCTATACTTTTATGTCTCTTATAATCGATGTCGCGCTATATGGCCTACAGCCCCCCCCCCCCCTCCAAAATACCGCTTACCTCAATTTTAATATTAAACACATCGAAAACACGCTCATCATTTTCGAAAAGCGATTTAGGTTCGGGATTTTATTGCATGTATTTCGTGGAATTATGCTACTCTAGCAGCCCACAAAGCGGCTTTGCCGAGTGTACTCCGGAACATTGTTTTTCAACCCCTAGGGCGCTTAACGCGGTGTATATACGAAAAAAAATCATAATTTTCCAAGATCGAGTTAGGTCCAGGATTTTTTTCGATAAATCGTGATTATTTATCATATTCTAACCACCCACCAAGCGGTTTCCGCAATGATGTCCGGAATTCCCCTATCCGCACTTCGATCAGAATTCGATCAAACACCTGTCATTTGGGAAAGTCGACTTAGGTCCATGCATCTCGTAGAATTATGCTACTCTAGCAGCCCACAAAGCGGACTTGCCGAGTGTGCCCCGGAACATTGTTTTTCAGCCCCTTGGGCACTTAACGCGGTGTATATACTTAAAAAATAATAATTTTACAAAATCGAGTTAGGTCCAGGATTTTTTTTGCATAAATCGTGATTATATATCATATTCTAACCACCCACCAAGCGGTTTCCGCAATGATGTCCGGAATGCCCCTATCCGCACTTCGATCAGAATTCGATCAAACACCTGTCATTTGGGAAAATCGACTTAGGTCCATGCATCTCGTGGAATTATGCTACTCTAGCAGCCCACAAAGCGGACTTGCCGAGTGTGCCCCGGAACATTGTTTTTCAGCCCCTTGGCACTTAACTCGGTGTATATACTTAAAAAATAATAATTTTACAAAATCGAGTTAGGTCCAGGATTTTTTTGGATAAATCGTGATTATATATCATATTCAAAACACCCACCAAGCGGTTTGCTCCAATGAAGTCCGGAAGGCCCCTATACGCACTTTTCAAAATCGCTTTACGTCCAAAATTTTTTCACGGATATCTGGTGAACTTAATGTGTTCTAATAGCCCATGATAGTCACTTGCTCGAGCGGCGTTAGGGACATACTTTTTTAGGGTTAGGGTGGATTTACATGGCGTTCTCACTAAAAAAATTATACTTCAAAAAAAAATCTCAGGTCGATATTGTTGTAATTTTTTTTTGTTAAAAATATCTTGAGGTTTGCAA